CTTAATTATGACCTTTTTAGAGTTAACCTTGTTGAGAGTGCATCTTGTAATTGTGGTCATCCTTGTGAGAATGTCTTTCACTATTTTATGGAATGTCAACTTTTTACAAACGAAAGACGTATTTTGGTTCAAAATTTGATTAATTTGAATGTTGCGTTAAATTTAGAAATTCTTTTGTTTGGCAATTCACAATTTTCCGTGGACCTTAACTCAAACATTTTTAGATCTGTGCAAAACTTTATTAAATCCAGCAAGAGATTTTGAGTTCAAATTGTAATAACAATTGTATATATTTATTGTCATTATTGTAATGTCATGTCAAATGTATATTGGGAGAAGGCGTTGATAAGTTGTTATAACTTGTGCCTAATCCCTTGTCTAATTTTGGCAATAAACATGTTTAAACTAATTAAACTAAGTGCCATCGGTAAAGGTTTGCCGTTTTCTTTATCGTAATTTAGCGAGATTTATTGGGTGTAGGGTTTTTCTGTTTCCTTGTTACGACTTTAGCGAGATTTGTTGGGTGTAAAGGTTTTTCTGTTTCCTTGTTACGACTTTAGCGAGATTTGTTGGGTGTAAAGGGTTTTCTGTTTCCTTGTTACGACTTGAGATAGATATGTTGTTACGACTTTAGCGAAATTTGCTGGGTGTATAGGTTTTTTTGTTTCCTTGTTACGACTTTAGCGAGATTTGTTGGGTGTATAGGGTTTTCTGTTTCCTTGTTACGACTTTAGCGAGATATGTTGTTACGACTTTAGCGAGATTTGTTGGGTGTATAGGGTTTTCTGTTTCCTTGTTACGACTTTAGCGAGATATGTTGTTACGACTTTAGCGAGATTTGTTGGGTGTATAGGGTTTTCTGTTTCCTTGTTACGACTTTAGCGAGATATGTTGTTACGACTTTAGCGAGATTTGTTGGGTGTATAGGGTTTTCTGTTTCCTTGTTACGACTTTAGCGAGATTTGTTGGGTGTATAGGGTTTTCTGTTTCCTTGTTACGACTTGAGAGAGATTTGGTGTTACGACTTTAGCGAAATTTGTTGGGTGTATAGGTTTTTCTGTTTCCTTGTTACGACTTTAGCGAGATTTGTTGGGTGTACAGGTTTTTCTGTTCCCTTATAACGACTTTAGTGATATTTTTACGTTTCCGTAGTTACACATGGACAGGATTGTTTATACTTGTGTAGGTTTGTGTATCCGCCACACCCCCATACGAGCCGAGAAATATGAATAATGGTTGTTGTATACGTAATTGTCGGCCTGCTCGACAGGGAATGCGGGTGTGGAAACGGCCCAGTGGTCTCGCACAACTATACACGGCGCGTTACCACCAACTCTAACGTAAATGTCACGACAGTTTATAACTCAGTTTTATCACTGATATATATTGATTAAGTAATATATGCGTATCAGTACAGGAAATAAAAGCCATTAATGAAACGTGTTAACCATTTCACGTGAACCGAACCAAGCGTATTCTATTCCGTAGACGACATGAAAGTGCCATATGACTATTTGATTGGCCGTTAGATAAATGTCGTACCCGTATGTCGTTTATGTTTCGGTAACTGCCAGGAGAGCGGTCCGCCGAGTTGTACCCGTACACAATCGTTACGACAGCTTCCCCGTTTTATGTGCCACAACAGCTGGGAGACCGGCGACAGCCTTACTGGGGCCGGTGGCACAACATCGGGCTACATAAACTTAGCGGGGGAATTTCGTTCCTGCTATCGTTGGTGATTCTGTCTAGAGATTCTGCGTGAACGGCTCCAAATGTCTTTACAGCGGGAAGCGGATCCGGTCCCGCGGGAGTATTTGGCGCCCTGATCATACGTTGTGCATCCCTACACCACGGCCTCGTACGTGTGACGAGAAGCACTGCACATTTCCATACACTATCCTAACTTACTTACGTACATACCTGCATAACGTCTATAAGTGGAAATATTTTACGAGAAATAAATAAACTTTGTGAACACGAAGGGAATGGTTTTAGACAGAATTCGTCTTAGCGGTGACTAAAATAGATATGTTGTAAAGATAAAACGCTTGTGGATAGATACCCTCTCGGGCGCTAAACACTAGATTGACGCATGTTACTACGCCCGTGAAATCAATATGTAGGTATACCGTCGATAGAGCGGATTAACAACATGTACTTTGGCGACGGGGAGCGGATAAATGTTATCTAAAGCGCCAGCTCTCGTACACCTACGGGGCGCTACACGCTCATCTAAATGCTTACAGAAGATATGATTTAGTTGAAGGGTCGAGTTTTAGCGTATAATGAGCTTACTGTTTTAATCAAGTGATCGATTTTGTTGCGATAGAACCCAGAAGATATTGTGAAAATCGATAACAAAACACGCTACGTTAATCGATAAACCCAGCGACCATAAAATGGTCTGTTGATGAACTTCCGTCAGCCTAGGGTTTAATCCTGTCAGGCTAGCGACGTGACACCCGTCCTAAGCATCACGTGACACCCGTCCTAAACACAATGTGACACCCGTCCTAAACACCACGTGACACCCGTCCTAAACACAATGTGACGTCCGTCCTAAACACCACAAATCCGACTTCTACATCAACTAGCCCGCACTTTTTTTTTTTTTTTTTTTTTTTATAAATATTGAAAAATATTTGTAGTCTTGTGCACTTTTGTATCTTGAAGCGTTCTTTTTAAAGTTAAACAACTAAATATTTATGCTCACAAATGTTAATAAAAGTTAAAACACACTACTGGCTATTAAGCGATCTTATCCTATTGTCGCTATCTATTCCAATAGACGCTTAGTGGTATCGATCCCGCCGTAAGGAAATTATCCCAACGTTTTTTTTCATTGCGTAGCTCGCGTTTGTCGCCAATTTCAACATTCATTATTTTCGATCGGACTGTAGAGCGCCTCGGGTTACGGTGTATTCGCCGCCGTCTGAAGTTGTACATATATCAACTTAGTCAATACGGAAATCGATATCCCAAACTCCAACTGTCGGATCGATGACGAATCAATGCTTGACGAGGGTATGGAACGTGCCCAACACAAAGAAACAGGAAGGCACGGCATGAACGCACATGTCCAACACACTATAGAATGCATTATTAAAAGTGACCATACATAACTTGCGCGGACGGCTGCTCGCCCAGTCGTGTACTAAGTCTTTGTTATCAGTAAGGTCGTGGTATTTAAACTAGCAACATACTCTGTACTCGTGTGTGGTGATATAACGGACATGGTCGACATACGGCGGAGAGCGGCCCTTTGTTGTCGTACAAAGTATTTAACTTGTAATCGTGTACATATGTTACAACACATTGTGTTTCGCCTTTGACGGTACATGTACACATTGAACGCCGCGTCCAAACAAATAAAAAAGGTAGATTAAAACCCATGATATATATATATATATCGAGTAGAAAGCATCGTACGACTTTCGGTCATGCGCGGCAAGATGAGTACTCTACACGTGTAGATAAATTGTCACTTCGTGTACCGAGATAATGTTTCTCGGCGAATGACGCACATACGGACAACCGTATCGACCACGTATACACCATGACTACGTCCCTGTGTATTTTTTATCTAACACATTTACAAATGAAAGCACACGTTATAGCGATATTACGGGTATTTAGTCGAGACGCTTCATTTACCAGGCAGTTTCGTGACTTGTCGTAAACTACACTTGAGCTCTAACCCAACAAACACGGTATTGCGTCTGATCGCTATACCGATTATAGGCGTGTGTTATCTGGCCTATCTCCCTAATACCCCGGCGAGCCGCGCCATATAGACTTGTTACAAACTTTACAAACGAGTGCCCGTCTGCCGTATTTCCAGTTTTATATCAGAGACGTATTTATGTTTTGAACATATCCGATAAAGACTGACGACAGCGTCACGGTAATGTTCAGCGATGATTTATGTATGCTTTCAGTTGTTACAGGGTTTCGGTGACGGAGGATTTCATATTTGACGAAATGTTTCAACTGTTTAAAATTCGAAACAGATAAATCATTAGTAGTTTCCGCCAGACAAAATAAATAATGAATAAATAAACAAATAAATAAAAATGGATTATTGTAAAGGACACAGATCACCAGTAACTTTATTAAGAAGCAAAAAGTAACATTTCACATTTTTTAAATTACAATCTCGTCTTTCCTGATTACATTAAACAACAAAAAGACACAAACAGAAGCACAATATCACAGGAACTATTTACTTCAGTTTAGTAAAGTATTGAAAAGTCTGTTTTATTTGTCATATTTTGCAGAATGGAAAACGACCAAAGAAGGGAGGAAAGAGATCCTTGTCCTCCCGACGGGGTCGACGGAAAGTCAACGTCAACCTCGACTCGGCCGGCGAGGAAAACGGGGAAAGTCGGGAAACGGAAGTGCAATGTGGTAAGGAACAATCAGTCGACGGCGACTCCGAGGAGGGCAAGCGTAATTCGGACCCCAGCAAGGAGCAAGTGAGTTCTGAAGGTGACCTATCAGACGCCAACAGTGACTCAACAGAGAACTACGATGTAGATTTCATTGATTCAGTTACGGAGCAAGACAAAGTGCCCCCCGAAAGTGAAGACAAATCAAAACATGATCTCATTGCCAATAGGCAATCGACATCAACATCAAAACAATTCCAAAACGAGATAGACGTGTTCTCATTTGAATCAAACGAAGAAAGTAATTCTTCTTTGAAGTCAGACAAAACGTGTGACAAGAAATTAGTGGAGGACGAAATAGTGCCAGAAAAGACTGAATCACCTGTGTGTGAAACAGAAACAAAAATTTACGATGATGTGGACGATATTGAAGATAAAAGTCCAGAGTGTGGAAAAGAATTGTTTGAAGAATGTAAATCTGATGAGGAAGGTTATAATGCAGAAGAAGGGAAGGATATTGAACAACCTACAGAGGAGGAACTGAACAAGGTCCACACTGACACGAAGCAAGTTGCAGAACCGGAAATTCCCGAGGAAAACAAGGAAGATACTGTTATAACTGTGGTTGAGAAACAGGTGACACAAAACCAAGAAACTGAAGAGGATAAGCAGGTAGAGGACAGAATAGAGGTAGAAGAAGTAGAGGAAGAAGAACAGAAAGTAGAAGAACAAAAAGTGCCATCCAAGCGTCCAAGGTAAGTAATCTATCTCGGCTGCAGAGCATGCACATATACTGGCATAGTACAAATAAATCTACTTCACATAATTGCTGCGAAGCCTGATCACATGCACGATTAACATAATACAGATGAGTGACTGTTTTTCATTTCTCTTTTGTTGTTCAAACATTTACGCTATATTTATCCTTATATTTACCTAGGTAATAAGAGCAATGTATCCCGATATTAACCGAAGTTATAAGAACAATATGTCTTTTCACGTTTTAGCCCTGCTAGAGAATCAAAGCTAGGAAACATCATCGATCAGCTTCGGGTCAACAGAGAGAAAGTGACCAAGGAGAGACGAGATAATGCAGCCGATCTGACCAATAAGAAAAAAGACTGTCCGAACGACTTGTCCATGAAGAGTGGAGATTGTCCGACCGACACACCGAGTAAGAAGCAGGATTACCCGGCTGATTTGACAAAAGATAATAGACGCGACATGTTTGATTTTACGAAGGATCAACAGAAGGAAATAGACGCGTTCAGCAAAATACGACGGGAAATCAGGTCCGACTCGCTCAAAGACAAACCGGAAGAAGTGACAGATACGACCAAGGAGAAACGGGAACAAGTCAGGGACGCAGCGAAGCTCGAAAAGGCGTTGTGGCAAATGCCAACACAACCGATCAGAAATCCACTTGCAACAGGTACGAAAATAAATCAGTGATATTGTTTCTTAGAACCCCTCCTAAAATAGTTCATGCAAGATACACATATTGAATTGTTTTTCTTTCATTTTACCAGTTTTAGAGATCATGGTTGTGTATTTTGGGATGGTCTTGTTGGATTTTAATACAAAACGTCAGAGAAAGCATAAAGAGAAGCTCGTAGTTGATCATCCATATGTCCGCATTAAACTTCATATTGCGAAACTGGTCTAGAAACTCTTTCCAGTCGAAAAAACCCAAAGAAAAGTCCAATATGAATATCAAATGCTTAAGAAAGCAACTCTTTATTTATTAAACTATATTTTGCCACCCTTTACCCGTTACGTCTTACGTTACAAACATGACTACATGATTACTCCATTCAGACTCGTTTATACCTTGTAATTCAGTACGATCACTACCATTTAGGATTCGGAGATTATTGAAATTTTTGCATACAGTGCACAGACACAAGTGCGGTTTCCTTACTTATGACTATAGAGCCTTGTTGATACTGCCGCCTGTAACCGTGGACATCCGTGTGGGCGAGTATTTAACTACTTGACGAGATTTCACAAATGACAGGGGTACTTCGGTGCAAAGTTTCAATGTTTTAAGTGTGAAGTTAGATTAGGAAAATTCATTTGAATGGAAGTCCACAGCTAACTGTAGACCTTTAAACCAAACAATTAAGACATGTGCAACAACTTATAAAATCAAGCCATACATTTTGATAATCAACCGCATTTAATCTTATAATGTTCCCGCAATTAACATGTTTAAACTGTTTGTTGTCACGATCGCAATCAATATTTTACAACTACACAAAAAAAACAACCTGTATCACTATACAACCATTTGGTTTAAATTGCAGAAATGAAAATCGCAAAAATAATCGACGAACAAAGGAAAGATTCAAGAAAGCATGCGCCATGTGTGGAGGAAAGGAGAGTTCCTAAAGGCCATTCTTTGTCAGCCAACCTTCACCAGAAGAAGCATCCTGAACGATCCCCCTCAGCGCCGAGTGAACTCCTGGAATTCCTTCACAAAAAGCGTGGACACACTCCCAACAGTGACCGCCACTCCTTCCCGTCAGCTGGGATGTTGTACCCGTGGATGAAGAAGGAGTCGGAAGATGGTGGCGAGAGGACAAGCAAGTCTCAGACTTCCAGTCCTTCTGCTCGTCTTACACCGGTTGACAAAGTCAAGAAATCCTCCAATTCCGTGCGGGAGAAGAAGGAATGCTCTTCGGACAAGGACTACAATGACTACATGAGGGCACTGGCCGCCAAGCAGGAGCGTAACCCCTTGTAAGTTGTGTGCGTTGTTGTGCTCTTACATCAGTAACATTTAGATAGATTTACATTTCCTTTGCACCGTCCTTAGATAAACCTACCAAACAAAACTGTTGTTATAATCCAATAACAGCAAGAACTAATACATGTGATTTTGTTTTCTAAATCGGAGACTGTTTGAGTCTTTCCTTCAAATTGTTGGAATAATCGGGGACAAATCATGACGTGAAGTCAAATTCAAATTTTGACGGAAAATCCCGAATGATTTCCGATTGACTTTTGCCGCCTGACAGAACTGGTAACAATTAAACAAACTCGATCTTGTTCCCGCAAAAAATGGCTGTTCAATTAACTAGTAAAACAACTTGTGTATATGTATTTTGAACCGACTGAGACAACAAAGTACGATAAACTAATATTGTCTTTGATAGTTTGAACATAAATATAAAGATTGAAATGCATCTTTTTAACATTTTTAAGGTATGTAACACAGCTCCATTCAAACTTATTTTCCAAGAGCGATCTTAAATATGTTTTTTAATGGAACTGTTTTGCATTACACCATGAATGTAAATTATGCATTTTATTCCTTGAACATATCTATACAACTCTTCTGAAATTGTGTTTACATCTACGGGACTAGGATTGACCTCAAATTTTCATAGGCACTGGTGGTATCTTTTTGTACATGATGGTGTAACGCGCTGGGTAAGTGATATATAGTTGTTTGTAAGACAACAATAAGGCTATATCGTAGACCAGACACATGGACATGTTCAGACCATGGCAGTATGTTCGAGTTTTATAAGGCGGGACATGTTTGACGATAATGGAGTGAATTATCGAGGGACTCGACTTGGAGAAATAGGTTGTGTGTGGTTTCATCTGCTATGTATGTTCATGTACTCTTAACGACCAACTTTGTTCAGCTAAGTACATATCCATCTCTATACCGCAACAGAATGTGGGAATTACGAAACAATCTTGTCATCTCGGTATCGGCTGAACGTTTCCGACTGTCCGACTCGACTGGCAGCAAATCGCTCCCCTAGCACCACGCGGCCAACAGAAGCACGTTCGATTACGAGACGTCTAGCGACTGACGCAAGTAGTAAATTGTTTAAAAATCCAATGTAATTATGCCTTAATCACTTCTGTCACAGCTGTTCCTTGGCGCTTTTACGCTTTGTCTAATATCGTAGCACGAGTGGCTGCAGATCTGGTTAATAGCGCGCGGAGGTCCGTGAAACCATAACAGCACCGATACAGCATTGATCCGACATTTATATAACTGTGAGATGCGTCATCAGGATTCCATATCGAGCTCTGTCGACAGAAGCCTCCGTATGTTATTATAAACACATTTATGTACACTGTACATATTAAGCTAAGTACGACGGTAATCAATAGCGAACAGTGATATAGGTCTCGCCGATGCGTATCGCGAATTGATGTATATATATATAGATGTACATGTATAACGTAACGATGTGGTGTTCCGTAGGCAGTGATACATTACTTAAGTTTAAACGAGAAAAACACGTCGAAAGCTTAAATGCTACAATTTTGCAAAAGAAAATAATAAAACTTAATTTCCTTTGCGATATTTTGTTTTATCGTAGTTCAAAACCACAAATTCGTGTTTAAGGCTGTTCACACGTTTGTATGTGTATCCTTCCGCCGCTGTTTTCGGTAATCTGTTATCTGAAATGGTGTATGCTGCAAGTCTGTAATTTGTAGTATGTTTTCTCGGTAAACACATCGCCGAGAAGTGTGGATACGTTAAATACAGATCTAGCACGGCACGCCTTGCTCTCGGAGGGGCTGTCGTGTTGAGGACGGGCAAGGGATTTAATTGTACGGGTAGGCGCGCGCGCGCGCTCACGAAAGGTCACGTTTCTGGTGGTGTTAAAGTGATTCCGCGAAGAGCGATCTCCTGAGAATTAATCCAGAATGGATGGTCATGTCAAAAAATCGCATTACTTTGAACGTAAATAATTCCCCAGGAAAAACAGACTGAATCCTATCTGCATAGTTGCGTGATACCATCCAAGGTTCACTGTCGGAGGATCCGGCACGGTTCAGTCTCCGAGACAGACTTAGTCGCCAGCCATGGAATTTTCCGTCACCACACTCACTCCAAAGATAATTAACATTTCTTTGTCGTGCCGATAGCTGACGTGAATCAGAAAATGGTACCAAACTAAATAACTTTGATCAGGAACATGAGCGGCATTTTGGTTGGTGTGTAAGGTTATCGCCCCGTATCCATTCCTGTCGTACGTGTAATTGTGACAACTTATACATATTCATGTCGTTCATTTAGCATTGATCATCGATTATCAGGTAATCGATAATGTGATACATTAGTTTGTAAAACATCAACGTTTACAAGTTAGCTATAGCATGAAGATACTCCGTGAGATCCTTTCTTATTCTGTGACGTCCTTTTAAACCATGATTCAAATTTGCATACAAATCGCAGTTGTGGTAACGACGGTCAGTTGTAAACATATAGAGTGTTTCATTATACAGAACGGTTTCATCTGCAATCCTACTAATTTCCCTTATCAGTTTTATATTGCGTCATGTCGCCATGTCTATAATAATATGGTGTCCATCATTAGATTGTAGACGTTGACATTCATTCCATTCCTTTTTGTTTCCAGCTTCCTGTCTCCACCGGTCCACGACCCGTATTTCTCTATGTGGACTCCGGACCTGCTTTTCCCGCCGGGACTTTTCAACCCTTATTCCATGTTTCTCGGCCCTAACGGTCAGCGGGGCGAGGTCCCACCCACATCCGCCATGTCGACGTTATGTTCCATGCCACAGAGTGGGGGACTCCCGGGCTTCCTGCCGCGGCCCCCACACAACATGTCCTACCCTATCCTCGACTCATACGTACCACACTCCAGTCCCAAGGAGTCGCCATCATTACCTCATTCCTGTCAGACAAACTCGCGGAAGCGGGGACCTGTAGAAGCGGACACGGCATGCGCACTTGATCTCTCTACAAAGCGTACGAAACTTGAGTGCAGTAAAAATGACTACTTCACTTCGCCACTATCACGATCGTCAGAATCCGTTGACAATTGTAAAAAAAATGCATTGCTTAATTTGTCAAATGCAAAAGCTCCGGAGGGAGACAAATCAAACTTTCATAAAACACATCATAATAGTCATCGTCATAAGAAGAGCAATCATTCCATATGGCAAGAAAAGGACATCAAAGGTCAAAAGTTACAGTGTAAATGTGGCGCCGACAACCCGGAAAATATAATGAACTGGTCGGCGGAGAAAGTGTTCGACTTCGTCTCTAAGCTGGAGGGTTGTAGCTCGTATGCTAAGGTAAGCTACGTTAACAAATAAAGACAGTCACATGGGCAGGAACAAAATATACGATGTAAATAGACATGTAAAGGTAAACACGACACGTGTACCAAGACAGGTGAAATGTAAAGGTAAACACGACACGTGTACCAAGACAGGTGAAAGTAGACACCGGTATTCAACAACCAAAACAGCTAAAGGCAGACATCATTAATCTAGTAAACTAACAAGGGGAATTTGAACATACGGCATGCATATCTATGAAGATTATACCAATAGGTAACGGTATATAATTATATTACGTATGTATAGTACATACGTATACATACAGGTAACTGTAGACATCTTTAGTACGTATGCATACCTACAGGTAATGGTAGACATTTATAGTGAATACCAAGAGATAACGGTAGACATGGGCCGCACGTGTGTGCGCACAGACGCAACAGATTGAAGGTAGATCGTGTAACCCGTGTACATGGTTTCGATTACAACAGAGATGTTTGTGAGTGACAATTTATATGATACTCAGTATCGATGTCATTTGATGCCTATCTGTGGTATAGAGTAACGCTTATGTCAATCCACAATACATATACATTCACATGAGTATGCATACATTCTTGTTTAAATAAACTGATATTATGTTTTAGTTTTAAGTATTCTGTTTCTGTCCACATGCGTGCTTTTTGTTCTGGCCACGTGATATAATTTCGGAATCAGTCATGTATACTGGTTACTGAACTGACTAGACAGAGTCGTTCCGGATTGTGAATTTATATGTATTTTATCTCCCATGTCTAAAAGCTTTTTTTTTTTTTTTTTTTTTATATCATGTAAGGATGTTTCCACGGATGTGTGAAGCACTGTACTTTGTATATTATACGTGTGCATAACTTTAACGTGAGGTTGTTTACTAAGTTTATATACATATCAATATAGGTTTTTAATTATTGTCGGAAGGTTCCAAGTTTAAATTCTGTAAACACACGATATTATATTTTTGAGATGAAGTGATAGGTCACAAGGTGAATGTTACCGACTATATTTATAACTAACGAGTGGCTGGACTCATTTTGACCAACTCGGTAGAAGTAATCATTGCTCTGTGATCACGTGTACTGACAATCTTCTTTGTTTGCAGACCTTCCTGGCTCACAGAATAGAAGGCAAGCTCCTACCGCTCCTCACCACAGACGCTCTCATTCGCAACCTCGGCATGAAGGTTGGCCCCGCCATTATCCTCAGTGAGGCTGTCACACGGCACGTGCAAGATATGAGCCGCTTCTTTCATCCGTGTAGTTACTGCAAACTCAAGTCGTCTCAACGCCTGTCCGTATGATGACGTCACCACGCACATCAACATATTTCCATACATCTTTTGTTACGAGGATACTATTATTTATTTGTGAATAAAACATATAGATTTCACACAGTGCGGAGAGATGACGTGTGGACTGGGTACGGCAGTAGTCCCGAACCCGTTCTTTTTGCTGTGCTGTACGAGGCCAGAGCGAGGCGATAAGATAGTCAGTAGGCGATTTATTAACATTTCCAGGCTGTCACGTGGACAGCTATCAACAACGTTAAATCAGGGATATCCAACTTTCAAATCTTTGATGATTGTTTTTTTTCTATGTGACGAATTAAACACATTTTGATGACTTTGTACACTGTACTACCCAGATAGAAATAGTAGGTTGTGGTGATGTTGAAACTGTAATGTCGAAACTGGCCAACTATGTACAAATGTTTTTATGTTGAATGGTGCTACGTCAGTTTAACGTGTACATGTTTTAACCTTACTAGAGAAGACTACTGGGAGTTACTATATGACGGAGATTTGGACCGGTGTGTCGCCCCTCGTTAAGGCACTAGTCTATGAACCAAGTCCTTACCGCCACACAGTAACGACAAATATCGGAAACGGTACTAGATAAAACTATTAAAGAGTTTGTAGTAATTTTGATTAATTTCTGACATAGAAGAGAAGAGCCTTGATGGTTGCAATCAGCGTGTTATTGGGGAAAATGCAGTCCCGTAGCCTTTTAACATAGCGTTATGGCACCTCGACTGCGCCTTTAAATATGTCAGAATTTAATTGCAATAAAGCCGCATTGAAGGACGGCCTTTGTTTGTATGTTTCCGTCAGTTTTTATTGATGTGTGTGCCCGCGGGACGGGCGATAGGTGACATGGATTCCGGTCAATTTCCACTAATACTAGTGATCGATGACACGTGACTGTTCCGTGACGTAATCGATGTTTACATTCCTCTGCCATGTCAGTGTACACGGGATATCGTTTTTGCAATAACACCCCATGTGGACCGCCAGCCATTAAAATATTGATGTACGTAGACGTCACGTTAACTAAATCCAATGTTTCCGTGTGATATTATACGTAATGTGGTGTCTTACTATGCAGATATATATATGTGTGTGTGTGTACTGTAGAAATCCTAGCGTAGGATTATGCAATTTTCAAGGGTCGAAATCTGAACATGTCAAGCAAACTAGGGGATTTTTAATGAAAAAACGCAGCTCGTAGATTTAGCCAGAGACGTAAATACGTCTCTGATTTAGCGAATCAATTTTGTCTGTAATATGTTATTATTGTACATGGATAGTATTTGTTCAGTATTTAATGCATCAAGGTAGAAAGTTGTAGCGTTGGAAGTCTGTTGGCGATAGATATTGTACACATGATTTACTGGGTGTTCAATTGTTCCCTGTCTACATCGTGATGCCGCAAAGCGTTCTCGTTAATGTCGCTAACTGTGGACATAGTACGGGATTATGATGTCATATGGCCTCGCTCTCTGTTAGGTTACTAACTGTGGGCATAGTGCGAGGTCGTGATATCACAGGTTCTCGTTCTCAGTTAGGTCGCTAACTGACGACATAGTACAGGGTCGTTATGGTGCAGGGCCTCGTTTTAGATGATGTCGCTAACTGACGACATAGTACCGGGTCTGATGCTACAGGATCTCGTTCTCTGTCATGAAGAAATCCAATTTGAAGGAAAGGGAAATCCAATTTTGACGCTCGCGTGTCCCACGCAAGCAGGGTTTTCACCTGGACAAAGGTGTTCGCTGTAGTCAATACTGTATATATATCATGTGTGTGTACCAAGTTTTGGTGTACGTCTTGATGTCTATCGATTAAAGAAAATATTAAATATATTTGCGTGTCTGTTGTCAGTTGTCCTCCAATCGATACACGTTAATTGCAGCAATTCAAAAAGTCTCATTTCCCGTGAATACGGAATAGGCATACTTACCTCACGCGACGAACATACAGTGTGCCGCTCTCGTTATGGCAAAGTTCTTACACACAGGGCGTCATACACACAAAACACGGGGAGTTTGAACAGGGCTATAGACGACTGGGACATGTTACTGAGAGTCGTCGTAACTAATGGTAAACACACAAGCTTACCGGTGGTGATACCCCGTTCATTAGGATCTATAAACATATTGGACGTCATCGGACATGCTGCGTGTTCCACAGGAACTGCGTATAGATATAAATAAGTTGATGCCGTCACAACCAATTACGCACAATAGGTCGTGCTGAACGAATTCATCTGTAGCCTCAATGGAACCGGATGTAACTTCTCGGCTCAGTGTAATGGTCAGATTGGAATCTATTGATTACAAAGAGGTTTTGCGCCATAAGCTGCGTGGAGACAGCAGTGGAGAGAGGCATATTACCGTAACTCGCCTCTGATCTGATATATCGATTCAGGAAAACAGATACTGATATTTTCGTTGATAAAATCGCGATAGAGAAATTTCATTTGTTGGAAAAAATATTCAAATCAAATCGAGACGCGATCTACATTTACACGAGTCTTAACATGCATGGGGATACGCCGACCGATAGAACAAGTTTAAGAGACGACATTTACGGAAATATATGCACCACATAATATTCCAATAGTAGTAGTATTTTTAACGGACGATGTTCACGATACGCAATTGACAACGACAAACGATTATCTCGTTTATAGAGAAGAAAGGGCCAAAACAAATGTTTCAAACATTTAAAAATACATATGCAAACAATCGTTAACAGATAACGGTGATGTTTATGGAAAAGGTCAATACAAGAACCTCAGCAGTCAATTTCTATGTGGACCAGACTATTGGAGACATCAAAAGTAGTCTTGTTCTGTAGCAGATAGCGCGTCACACCATTATATGGCTAATAGGTGACGCCGTCGGTTAAACACTGTGGAGCAATAATCCGATAAGCACTTGGGTTAGGCGTTTACCACCGTATCGACTGACGAACCTTCACTCAGCTATATACGTCACAATTTCAATTTCTTTATTTCCAAACGCAACAGATAGCATATAGGAGTTACAATATACATGTGCATACAAGTAAATATTACAATCCATTTATGTACGATGGCGGAGAACATAGAGTAAAATACAAGATGACATCATAGCAATGTTGTCAACATACAAAAGAAAATATATAATCATTGTCAGTGGCACACAGCTGAAACATACACGATTTCTCAGATATTAAGTATAGACTTTCTTTTAGAAGTAGCCTGAATTAGATACTTACTAAAGTTTCTCAATTGTTTTACATTTTTTGCAGGCGAATAATTGTATTAATTTATAGACGTAAGGTTATGTCGGTAGCCTGTACAGTCAAACCAGACACCAAACGTGTATAATAGATATGAGCAGATTACAAACCAAAAGGTGTTGTAACATTTGCGGCAATGTTTCTTTTAATGCTCGTGTTTCTTTTTTAAATTACTGAAAATGGCGCTCAAGACGAACGTCTCCTCCGCTTTGCCATTAACAGGACTGTTATTGACATCGGGGCTGGGTACGATACGGTTAACGAGGTTACTGTTTCGATTAGTTATAAACCGTTTTCATTGCAAGTAATATATTCGTTTGTATGTGAACATGCGGCGTTAACGGACTTGAAACGCGACAACAGAGGAAATGGAATCGATTTCCGATGCCGATTGGCCAGGGTTAATGCCTTATTTGTACACGGAGACTGGCACGGTGTACGTTTACATTTGGCCTTGTAGGGCTGGAATAATACGATCTATCCATGTCTCGCTAAACCTTATGTACTGCATAGAAGCCACAACAGGGAAATCTACTTCCATTTGTGTTTTATGAAAATGTCAAACGATAAAATCATTGTAAAATAGGAACGGGTAAAACAAATCAAAATATAACACCTCAGACAAAACAGAAGTAGCGTTACTACGGCTAAGTCTGTTACCACCAGGCCGAGATAGGCTAGTTATAGGCAATGTCGAGTAAAACACGGACAGAAAGAACTTGTCTATTCGGTAATCAATGTTGCCAAACATTAGCTTACTAGTTTTAGTTATACTCAATTCAATAACTATTTGTTTTATAACGAGGCTCTAACAGGTTTCTAGAGAAGCTCCTTCTGTGGATCTATGACTGATGTAATTGTTTCGTATTGACGTTCAGCTACGATTTTATCATTGCTTGTCGTCAATAAAAAATCCCGTTAACTTCAGCGTAAATTAGTTTTCTAAATTCTCGTTTGATGTAATAGTTTCGTCATTTGTCATATTCCCAAAGTGAATTATAGACTTATCTTTCAGCAGCTGGAAACAACGTTTTTCACGGCATATGACAAGATCCGTCATAAACGCATAAAGGAATCGTCGATAATCCGCGATTTGTATGGGACTAAACATGAGTAAGATCGATCAGATATGACCAGTGAAGATAAATCGTGACTTTATATCAATCACCATCCTTTATACACCTCGACGGTAAGACATTCACGATTAATGCTATGTGTGATATTTTATAACGATTATTTGACACATCTGCTGTGTAATATTTTATAACCATTATTTGACACACGTGCTGTGTGATATTTTATAACTATTATTTGACACACGTGCTGTGTAATATTTTATGACCATTATTTGTCACACCTGCTGTGTGATATTTTATAACTATTATTTGACACACCTGCTGTGTGATAACATTGTACGTAGTTATAAAATATCACACAGCAGGTGTGTCACATAATTGTTATAAAATATTATACTAGCACATATGTGACATAATCGTTATACAATGTTACATACAGCAGCACGTGTGTCACACAATAGTTATACAATGTTACATACACCAGCACGTGTGTCACACAATAGTTATACAATGTTACATACACCAGCACGTGTGTCACACAATAGTTATACAATGTTACATACACCAG